ATGTTAAGTCTATATATGCGGCTGTCGTGGGAGATTTCAAAGCTAACGTGGATGAGAGGAGAAGGATGGAGAAAGCTATGCTGGTTGAGCAAGCAACATTTTGCAATAAAAACGCCAGTGGCATTCCGTGCTTTATGTCCGCGACGACTACCCAAATTCGATGGAGCTACTAATGTTACTGATAAGTGGCAGTAGGTCTGACATGACTTGATGGAGATTGCCTTTTAACCGGAAACTCCCTGTTAAAATTTTTTGTAGTTCACGTGTGGCAATGGTCGGTGCATTCCGGTTTACTGGCTTTGCGATGGTGACAATGATTGTTACGACAGCACGGACGAAGATAGGGAACGATGCCCGCCGGCGGTCTGCCGTCCGGACCAGTTTCGCTGCGCCAATAAGCGTCAGTGTATTTCGCTTAAAAACCACTGTGATGGGCAACAGGATTGTGATGATGGATCAGACGAGGAAAGCTGTCTCATTCAGGTTTTCAAATACTTTATTCCTTAAATTGGGCAAGAATTTCAGTTGAATTCATAAGTTTGCAGCGAATAAAACAAACAGATTTTAAAAAATACTTGCTCTGTGATTAAAAGTAGTCACACTCGGGTGTAGCATATTACTACTTTTACTACAATTCGCGTATAATCTCACGTTAGCTTAGTTTCAGGAAGACAAATGCGCTCACAATGAGTTTACATGTGTATCCGACGGACTTTGCATACCGATGGCATGGAAATGCGACGGACAAAAGGTACCGCTTCTTTTTTTTTCTTCTGGGGTCTACAGATTCTCGAAAATTATGCGTAACGTTTTTTTACTGTATTTCCTTAGATGTTCATAAGAATTCCACTTGCTTCGTGCCGCATTCTAGGCGACATTCTTTTGCTGGAAGAGCGTTTGGACATATTTAACTTTTTGCACTCCTACGTCAGCTTTCTAACATGCACATTTGTCAGATTTTACATTTGCACCTATGCGAAAACACCGTGAGAGATACAGTATGTTTTTACAAGGAAATGGTAAAGGAAGGCCAAGGTAAAATCAATAAATCGAGACAGAGATGTAGGATCAGTCTGTCATTATCTAAGTTACGAGAAAACCTGAGGCTTTAAGAATAGATGGAATACGATGATATTAAAATTAAAAGACGGAGACGTTACGGGAACTAGTCCGAATAGTAGTAAGTGTGGTGAACGAATGAAAATTAATGAAAAATTACTTTCAATTACAAGGAACAGAAGTTGAATCGCTTGGTTTGATATTTCTTGAAAGGAACGATAACAAGTTTAATTAAAGTCATCTAGCACAATAAGATCAGAATATGGGAGAGCGAATGGAATGCTGAAGTTGGCATCTAGGCAGCAAATCGAATTAGTGACGACAGCACAAGATGAACAATGATAAAAACAGTGCATCGGGAGAATAGATTCTTTAAACAGAGGCTCAAAGCGCAAGCCGTCGAAGGCGTACAGCCCGGCCGAAAGTTGATACTTGGTACCGAGACCGACGCCGACATTCGATAATTCAAGGATGCTACCTTCGAGTGTCAAGTCGATAGGATTCAGCTGCAGCGAAACTGCGCCACTGATAAAGTCGTTGCAGTGAGTGCAGCTTGGGCTGTCGTCGTTGATAAGGGGTAAACGAGAAGGCAGCAGTGGAGTTCCTGCCCTGTCGAAGAGCTTGTCCAAAAAACGTAGCCTGTACCGTTGCCGTAAGTGAACCGATAAAAAAAACTGAAACAGCAGCGAAGCAGCTGTGTCGTCGAATATGTTAAATTTCGTCGAATTTATTGAAGAGGAGCGCAACCGTGACCAACCGTCGTCGAAGAAGAATCGTTACAGGCAGCCGTGCAGGCAGTTCATGCACCATGGCAGCTGGGGAGGACTCATTGCAAGCGAAACACTGCCCATTTTTCATCGACTATGCTGCCCGAAAGTGTAGTGAACAGTCTAGGCTCTTATGCGTTTTTACACATGTGCAAATTGCAAAAACGCATATTGGGAAGAGGCTGTCTGTGTGTGTGTGTCTGTGTATTCGCAATTTTTGTTACCCACTTTCAACTCGAGAACTAGAAAAGCTAAAAGGCTGAAACTTTGGGAACATGTGCCCATGCCATGCGCGACCCTCCCACTTAAATTTCATCCCCCGCATACGCATGGGTGCCGAGTATGGACGCTTTAAAAAAATATGCAGATTTTTTGACGGGAAAGCGATCTCGGGAACCACAAAAGGTAAGGAACTGAAGCTTTGTAGGAACATTCCCCGGGCATGTGCTAGCTAAAGATTTCAAACTCAGCCCCCAAGTATGCGCGATACTCATGTAAGGGCGCATGAATATTTCTACTGAAAAATCATTGGCAACGCGCACCGGGCGAGCCCGTGCGATCATGGGTTTTTGCAGTGTTTCGTGCTGTAATGAGATCGTTCGAAAACCTGGTAGCTAGGATTTGCGACATACTGGTCCTCGAAGTTCGGGAAGTTAATTGTCTACGCGGTACTCGGACAGGGAACATTCCGCTAAAATTCCAGTTTTCCAACTTCTCCCGATCTAGAGTTAGCAATTTTCCTGCCAAAAAATTTCATGGGTTCATACATAGAAACCATATGTTTCTGGGAGCTGAATTTGATATCTTTAACTTTTACAGGGGCTGGGAACACACCCTTTACATTTCAGCTCCCAGCTTTCTTATTTACCGAGTTAGCCATTTTTTCGGCAAAAAATTTTACGGGGTCGTACGAGAGAACCACGTACCCCTGAAGACTGAATATGATAAATTTTCGTTGTACATGAGCTAGAAACATTCCCTGAAAATTTCAGCCTCCTAGCTTTCCTGGCTCCCGAGTTAGCCATTTTCTCGCCAAAAAATTTCACGGGGCCGTACGTGACAACCACGTATGCCTGGGAGTTGAGTTCGATGATATTAAGTTATCCATGCGATGGAAACATTCCGTGAAAAGTTAGCCTCCCAACTTTCCTGGTTCCCAAGTAAGTCATTTTCGCGCCGGAAATCCTCACGGCGCCATACGCGGGCACCACGAATACATGCGGGTTAAATTTGAAATCTTTGACTTCCATTTGGACGGGGACATAGCCCCAAAATTTTAGCTTTCTAGCTTTTCTGGTTCCTGAGTTACGATTTTCCCGCCAAAACTTTGACTCTATCGTACGGGGGGCCCAGATGCGTGAAGACTGGTACCGCGGTCCTGGGGTAGCACTTGGTTGGGGAACCCATCGGCAAAATTTTGGCGCCGGAGCTTGTTTGGGTGCCGAGTTCAAATACCCGGCAGGCACACACACACACACACACACACACACACACACACACACACACACACATACACACACACGCACTTACACACACATGCACGCGCACATACACGCACACATACACACATCGGGGTTGTCGCAATATGCGTTTTCGCACTTGCATATGTGCAAAACGCATAATTGCTAACTCGGCAACAAGAAAAGCTATAAGACTGAAATCTTAGTGGGATATCCCCTGTCTACGTGCAATTTAAAAATTTCAAATTCAGCTTTCCAGGCACGTGAGTATGTGAAAGTTTTGGCAGGAAAAGTGCTAACTCGATAACCAGAGAAGCTGAAAAGCTGAAACTTTTGAGTAGTGTTCCCTGTCCAAGTACAACTCAAATGTTTCAAATTCAGCCCCCAGCTATGCGTTGTACTCACGTAAGGGCGTATGAAATTTTCTGCGGGAAAATTGCTAACTGGGGAACCAGAAAAGCTAGAAAACTGAAATTCTAAGGAAATGTTCTCTGTCCAGGTGCAAATTCAGTATTTCAAATTCAGCCTTGAGGTATGCGTGGTTCCTACGTACGGCCACTTAAAGTTTTGGCGGAAAAATCTCTCATTGAACAGCTAGGTTACTTTTAAAGAACGACCGTTAAATGGAAATTGTCATTTACTTCATGCGAAATTTATGGTATTTTATGCTAGTGACCGCAAAAGGTAGATGTAAAGCACCAATCATTTATGCAGTTAATGACCGAAGCACTTCAATTCCGGTGCAAAAATGCATGATCGCACGGGTCCGCCCGATGCGTTCCAGCCTGGGTTTCAATATAAATTGAAGAGGCTCCCCTTTTTATGCGTTTTTGCTGTGCTATGCTGTAGCAACACTATAGCGCTGCTACAGCCAACAAAAACGCATATTGTCGAGAGGCTGTCTGTGTTTGTGTATGTGTGTGTGTGTGTGTTTGTGCACAGAAAGCGAGTGCATTTTGTCACCCACTTTCATCTCAGCAACCAGGAAAGCTGGGCGGCTAAAAATTTGGATATTTGTTTCTACCCCCTGTGTCATCCTCCCGTCTTAAGATCCTTCCCCATACGTGCCTAAACCCTGCGTACGGGACCCCCAAAGAAATAAAAATGTTGGCGAGAAATGATCGCGAAAACTTTGTAGGGATATTCTCTATGCATGCAAGATAAAAATTTTAAACTCAGCTCTCCAACCACAGCCTCAAGCAGCTCCTGAACCCAAAAACCGTTAGCAACTCGAACCTGAACCGCAATTGTATATACAAATGAACATGGATTTTTTGAAAAACGAACGTTCGAGCGATACTTTCAATTTTTCAATGAACTGAAAGTTTGCTTATTTTCAAAAAATTCGTTCGCAGCTCGGACCC